ATGATCGACGGTCGCAAAGAGAGAAAGCGGGAGCGAAAGTTCGAAATTTCCTTTAAGACCAGAGGTCACGATCTCGGGCCAAAATGGCAGAGCCATTTTGGCAGACGTCTCCTGACATAAACCTTGCAATTCGGCAAGCTCTGCAAGTAGTTAGTAGTAGCAGCAGCAGCTATAATAATAATAATAACAACAATCGTCGTCGTAATAGTAGTGGTAGCAATAGTAATACTACTGCTAATAATAGCAATACTAATAGCAATAACAAGAGTAGTAAGCAGCAGTACTAGTAGTAGTAGCAGTAGTAGTAGTAGTAGTAGTAGTAATAGTAGTAGTAGTAGTAGTAGTAGTAGTGGTAGTAGTAGTAGTAGTATTAAAATAATACTAGTGTCGCAATAGTAATAATCGTAGTAATCGCAATAAAAACTGCAATGACAACAATACTTGCATTACTGATAGTAGTAGCACTAGTAGTCGTCGTCGTGCTGATAATGCTAATACTAATGCTAGTACTATAGTATTGATGATAACAATAATAGTAATAATAACAACTAACTAACAATATCAATAGTATAATATCTAACTACTACGGCTACTTCTACTACTACCACTACTGCTGCAAGTGCTACTACGACTGCTGCTGCTGCTACTACTACTACTGCTGCTACTGCTACTGCTACTTCTACTGCTACTGCTACTGTTACTACTACCACTACTACTACTACGACGACGACTACTACTGCTACTACTCCTGCTGCTGCTGCTGCTGCTGCTGCTACTACTACTACTACTACTGATGTGCAATAACAATAACAATAGTAATACAACTACTAGTACCAGTACCAGTAGTACTAGTAGTGAGTGTTGTCGTGGTGGTAGTAGCAGTTGTAGTAGTAGCAATAGCCAATAGCAGGAGTAGTCGTAGTAGTAGCAAGAGCAGCAGTAGTACTTGTAGGAGCAGTCGTAGCAGTCGTAGTAGTAGTAGTAGCAGTAGTAGTAGTAGTAGTAGTAGAAGTAGTAGTAGTAGCAGCAGCAGCAGCAGCAGGAGTGGTAGCAGTAGTAGTAGTAGTAGTAGTAGTAGTAGCAGCAGCAGTGGTAGTAGTTGTTGTTGTAGTAGAATTAGTAGTAGCAGTAGTAGTAGTAGTAGTAGTAGTAGCAGCAGTAGGAGGAGGGGGAGTAGGAGGAGTAGTAGGAGTAGTAGTAGTAGTAGTAGTAGTAGTAGTAGTAGGAGGAGTAGCAGTATGGACCGAATTTTCGCAGGCTGCAATTATTTTTATTTTGCCACATTTCTGAGCTTTAGTTTCTGCTACTCCCTGTTTGGGGTGATCTCTGTTTGATTGTTGGGCCCCGTTTGATTGTTTGACGTGCTACCCCCTTCACAAAGCAGTCCTTCAGCAGCGGCTGCATCACTGTAGGGGAAGGCTTGCACTGATGATGCAGCTCTCTTGCAGGCTCTGTTGCAGACGAGGAGCGCCAGCGTTTCCGGCATGGCGCCAAGCTCAGGTGCCTGCCGACAGCAGGCGCAAGCACGTGAAACAGATTGTTCCACTTCTCCTTATTGTCATCCGGCTTCCAGTGAGGTTTCACTCGCAAGGAAAATGATGAGAATTTATGCAATGCTCCCAGCGCAAGGTCCTGTATGAAACAGTTGCATCCCTTATCGACGGATCGCGGCTATCTGACAAGCTTGAACTCTCGTCCAAGGCCGCGTTATTGCAGCTGGGTGGCCAACTCTTGGCTACCTCGGCGCAGCTTGATTACCAACCGGACCGGGCTTGTATCTCCGACTGGTGCAAGCTCCAGTGTCATCAGGAATCCTTTCTACTTCCAAGACATGCTTTCCGGAATGCCGGTGCTTCATCCTGCTGTGATGGAGGTTCTTACGGGGTATGCGGTTGCAAGGAAGCCTTGCTTCCCGCCCGGTTTTATACTCTACTAGACTCTACTATGTATGAATGTACAGTGCCGCTTGACCCCCTTGCTCTGATCTGGGGCACAACTGCCGGGGATCAGGCCGGGAACAGCAGCCGACCTCTTCGGGTATACCTGAAGATGCGGAGTGATGTCGCATCCTACAATAGCAGAGATTTGCGAGAGCATGACCTATGGATCGAGCTTTGCTCTAAATCGGGATCTGTCGCATGCGCCCAGTACACGACAACCGTGCAATCCTACTTCAATTTTCGCATGCCATGGTCGGACTTGTTCCGACTGCGTGCAAGAGGATGTCCCCAAACACCTTAGGTGTTGAGGCTGGTGTAGAAAATGCCTTGCGTCCAGTTTTGGACCTAGCAGACCTAGCACAAGATGACTACACATTCGACGATTCCAGTTTGGATGGGCAGCTCCTGATCTAGTCTGCTCCTATCGTCGCGATCGGACCCATGTTAATCGACGATTCGGAACTGTTGGTCCGGCTGCGGTGCCCAGCGGTTCCTGCAACGCGCCTAGCCTCACCAGCTTGTAGCGACGTCCTTCGGGAGTCCGAATGGGACGAAGGTCTGTCTTTGGATGCGAATCCGGCAAGAGTCCCAGATTGCCGAAGGCTTGGGCCAAGTCCATCAGATCGGAGTCTGCTTGAGCGACCAGGTGACAGCTGCCGGTCAAAGCCCCGGCCAGGTGACAGCTGCCTGTCAAAGCCCCGGCCAGGGGAATCCTGCCTAGAGAAGGACTGCACAGAGGACGACCCCACCCGATCGACGCGCTCCAGGCCATCATCGTCAAGACGTCGATCAGATCTGCGGGTGTGTCTGGCACGAGGCCAATGAGGACGTTCGAATCCTTGCTACGAGAGCCACTACATAGCAAAACAAATAAAAGTTGTACGTCAATCTTGGGCTCAATGTGCCAGGCAAAAACTGGGGCAAAAGACAGAGACAGCAAGGAGCATGGATCGAACATGATGCGATTTCATACTCCAACAACTTCAACGGTCAAGTCCTGTCTCGGCGATCTAGAGGCAGTCAAGGTTCGTTTGTCTCAGGACAAGACGTGCTATGTTCTGGTCTGGTTAGTACCGGAGACTGAGGAAATGCACCCAAATGCGGGCATTTGCAACCCTTCTGTACCAGCACAGGCTTCAATAAAAGGCTGCGCAGGATTTTCACTCCGAAGTGATGTGAGGACTGTGGCGAACGCACAATTCATGTAACTGGGGAGTGGTATACAGAGATGTGAGACCTGAGGTGCGCGGAACAAACTCGACCGCCAGCGTGTGCGCATGCGTATCCACGTATCTGTGTAGTTTGGATGTAGTTTGTGTGCGCCCGGACGCCTCGTAATTCTCGCAGGCTCGCGGACGTCGTAGCGATGAATCAGCAAGCCTGCGGCCTGCGGGGCTCTGTAGTTCTGCATTAGACTATGGCGGGAGCACGACGGCACCGTTGCCGGAGCACGAATCGGGAGGTGGAAATGCACGGAGTCGCTCAAAGTGCGCATAAGTACGCCGTGCACAGCGATTGCGAAGCAAGGCTGCTTTGAACGGCGGCATTTCGAGACGATGCGCGTGCGTTCCATCCACTTCGCGAGCAACATTGGGTTTGACAAAGAGTTCGGCAGCCCGAAGGGACACGGCCGGTGGGGAGACTGCACTTTAGTCGAAAATGTGCACCACAACACGAGGAGCTCCGGCGTCACCTACCTAGTCTGATTCGTTTAGTCTCAAAACTAGAACCCCATAACGTTTGCTTGGTTGAAGTTGCATCTAGCACGTGCTCTCACATCCTTCACTCACTGGCCGGGCCGTTGCCAAACTACTCCAGTAGTACACCCGACGCTTCGCAAATGCACGCTTCGTCAAGGCTCTGTGCAGCAGCTCGTCAAGATTTGTGCCCTGCAGGGATTGCTCAATCAGCGTCACAGTCTTCCTCCTCGGATGAAGTGCGGCAGTGCATGCAAGCCGGCAACTTGCAGTATTTGCAGTGTCATGCAGTCCTGTGGGTCTGATTCACTCGCGGCTTTAGCAAGCATGAACTCAAGGTGAAAATTCTGCAAACACCCCATCCCTGAGTGCACGATACCATGCGATGCGGTCAAGTAACAGCGATTCTTCTGTGGCCTTGTGAACGAATCGCTCCAAGGTCTGCATCGCATCGGCTATATGCAGAGTCGTTGACTCTGTGCGGGAACTCGTTGGGTTCATACCGGCACAGGCGTCCTTGCTGTTGCGGGGGTCCTTGCCGGCACGCAGGGCTTGGCAACACAGAATTTTGTTTTGCGCACCTCACTCCTGCTGTAGTTGTTCATGAATTGGCTCAAGGTTGCATCACAAGGCTCGCGGGAGTATTGACATGATCGAATTATCCAGACCGTGCAGAGGGAAACCCTCTAGCTAGCCACACCGATTGATCAAACTGGTTTGTAACAGGTATGATGCTTCACATGCATAACTCGCATGATGCCTTGTAACATCTTCTCACACTATACTTGATGTTTGAGCTGTCCTGTTCCTTTCGCAAGCCGGCGACAGCTGGCTCTGTCGGAGTTTCAAGCAATTGTGGTTGAGACTTCCTCGGGAGACGAGAAGGCGCAAAGCGAACATTTGAGGATCTTAGCTTTGGTTACCCCGTTGGATATCCAAGGGGCACAGAGGCGTTTGGGGCCTCGATGCATCCCTCACCGGCGGCCATCCCATGGTCCAAATCACACGTCTGGTGCTCGGACATCTCGGACTGGGCTGCAGGCTGGCCGCCAGTCTGCAACCCTTGGGCCGCTGTAAGTTTCTGCAGACTTTCCGACAGGCTGTCGACTCGCATGGCCAAAAAATCGAAATAGTCGCGAGATAGGTCAAAAAGCTCTTCTTGGTTCTGCATCGTTCGAACCATGTTGTACTTGATGAATCGAGGGGCCGTCTTCGAATCATGCACCCACCTGCTGAGTGGCGCGATGAACTCCTGTGCCTCGACTGCACCCTCTCTGTGCACATCGATCATTTCGAAAAGTTGCTGTAAGTCCACTTCATCAATGTCCATGACACGCAATCGGCTCTGAAGCTCGGGATCCCTGCGGGCCCCCTCTATCAGCTCGTCTAGTGTCAAACGGCCACTTCCGTCGGCATCTATCCGATTGAAAAGCCTTTGGAGGTTCTTTCTGTCGTCTTCCACATTTTGGTCCATCTCTTGTGCCAGGTTCAACACATCTTGCTCGCGAGCTTCTGCAAATGTGTCTACAACCTGTTGAGCAAGGCACTTCCACTAAACATCACGATACGAGACTGGGAGCACCCTGGCCTTACCATGCCTTACCTAGGCAAACTTGAAAGCAATTGTCATCAGCCAAGATACTACGGCAACAATGAGATTCCTCAGCTGTTCTTTTGGTATATGCGCTAAGTTGTATACTAATTAAGACCCAGTCTCGGATCCACCCGGGAAAGAGAAACGTCCAAAGGCAAAGGTTCAAAGGATGTACTCAAGGACCACCAAGGTTCAATACGCCAAACACAAGTGTCAGCAGTGACCCCATAAAAATGAAGGCTGTATAGGGATTGGATTCAATAACCGGCACAGCAATATCACCCCAACTGTCGCCTGCAATAACGGTCTTGAACAGCAGCAGGTTGGCACGCATTACAGATGCTACGGCTGTGCTGCAGTCATCGCACTGCTCAAAGGTCATATCGCGAATGATCGGGTGAACAATCTCTACCTTGGTAGCTCTGGACTAAGGACATAGCCGAATACTTTGATCTTGTAGCATCCGTAGTACAAAGCCGGACCGAGAACCAAAAGAATGTTGCTGCGACGTCTACACAGCTGTAGCGACATGCTGCCAAGCTACCATGAGCATGGCCCAAACGGTCATTATGCCGAAACAGAAAACGAAGGACCAAAGCAAAGCTTTCAGGCACGTAGCCATCATTGTCACTAGCTTGTGAAGCTCTCGTAGGGCACGTATCCGCCGCAGAAGCCTCATCAGCCGAACGATCCTGACAAGCCGCAATGCGCGCAGGATGCCGAGGTTTCCAACTATATCGCCTGGTGCCAGGAAGTTCAGCAACAGCTCCAAGTAACCGCACAGAACAATAGTAAGGTCCAGGAGAGCGAGCCAGTCTTTGAAGACAGAACAACCCTGCAGACAGGTCAGCACCACAAGCTCCAAGGTGTAGAGCCCCAGACAAACATCTGAGAGAATCGCAAGCTCGAGCGCGGGGTCTTCCCCAGCGGCTCTCGCATCGATGTCTGCGCAGGTGCAGTAAGCATCCAGCCTTAGGCACCAAGCAGCCTTCTGAACGCTTCAATCTCAGAACTAAGCCTGAGGGGGAACAATGCAACCAAGGCGCAAAACGACCGCAGCCATCAGGTTCGAAATATAGCTGTTCGTCATCACATCGATGCCGATCTTGCGATACTTCTCTTTCCCAGTGTGCGTTATTTCTGGCTCATCTTCTTTACGAGACTTTATAAACTCCGCACGGACGTTGACAATGCTGCCACGTCTTTGGGCAGAGTTTGATGTGAGAGATGTTGGTGAGTGCACGCCGGCGGGCGATCCTGGCGACGACTTTTGTAGTCTCTGCGAGGCTGAAGCTTCGCTGATTGCATCACTGGCATCGCCCTCACTGAAGAACGGAGTCACTGGGCGCAATGGTTGCCCACTCCTTTGCGGTCCGAGCGAGGTCGACATGAAACTCTAAAACATTCTAAAACTAAGCTGTCTGCACATCCACACTGACTTGAGCCAAGAAATGCGTGTCGCTGAGCTGGTCCTCTGCACTGAGAGCCATAGAGGACTTACATCAGAACGGCCACCTGCCTTCACGGGGGGCCCATTCACCTCAAACCAGCGCGCAGAAGCGGCAAAGGCATAGAAAGTGAGGCAATGAATCTTGACAACGTGCCAAGCAGGAAACGCAACAGAACAAACTCCGAATGGCAAGGATGGACATCTCGCACGACTGCACCAAGATCACATGTCGCAGCCTGGACAGTCTCGACAGAGGACTCTGCCACTGGCGGCATGAAATAAGCCAACCTATCAGGGGTTCCACATTGTCTTTCAGCTCGATTCAGCTGAAGCTATCTGCCACGGACTCCGAACCGAATGGGGGAGTCATGACACTGCTCCTGGGTGCTGCTGCAGCAAATCAAGATTCAAGACTGCTTAGGCCGTGGCATGCTGGCTTGCGCCTCCAGCAGTGGATCCATACCCCTGCAATCACAACGACAGATGGTGACTTGGTTCTCTTTGTGTGGGATGTGTTGGCATCTGGTTGCGGCACTCACAAATGGGCAAAGACAGGTGAGGTCACACAAGACATCACAGGACCCAAACAACTACGATTATGCAGATTGCTTCTGCGAGCTGCGAAATCCCCTGGCACTGACAGCAATCACTCCGTCATTGACTTCAGCTGTCGACAAGCAGCTATAGGCCGCTACAAGTCTGCTAGTATGCTACATGCTTGATGAAAAAAGGATCAGAAACTTATCACAACCACAAGTGCGCTCTTCAGGCTTCAAGGCTCAGAAGTCGCATGCGACCTCTGCGTGTGTGCTAGATTTTTCCGCCTTCGCTGTGGGCGAGGCCACAAGGCCGTCAGGACCCGCAGAGTTAGGGCACTTGTCTCGCTATCTCGCTGGCTTCAATTGTGTTGGAGTTGACGATATCAAAGTAGAAGCTACTTGGCCTGGTACGGCCTCATGGATGCTGTTTGTTTGCTGCCGTGTTCTTTCTTCTGCGACGCTTGAGCCTGCATGATGGATCGGAAGCTGCAACTCTCAGTGGCAACTTCTTTCGCGTCCGCTGGGCCTCATTAAACCATCTTTAAACTGCACCATTTGTTTCAACAATGCTGATCCTCACGACCATGTGGTCGCTGCTGTGGCCCGTTCGTGCTTCCACGGCCACTGCATAGAACATCACAGAACAAGGTTGGCACTCGCTTTGGATAGGAAGCTCTCGCGTCTGAGTGTGAAAAAGCTGCAAGCAACTACACTCGCCCATGCCAACCTTACAAGGCAAGGTCCACATACGGTCCACACAACAAAAAAAGGCAAGTCAAACAAACCTCTGTTCTTGCTCTTTCTTGCTTGCTTGCCTGCTTGCTTGCTAGAAGGGGTACGGGCTCCGGAAAGAACCCTGGCCCAAGGCCTACCCCCGGTTGCTCTCTTTGCTTTGCTTGGGGTCAGAGCCAGGAGCAGTCCTTACTCGCGCTCAAGGTGCATCCCCGTCCACCATTTTGGCAGCCCCCACAGTCACATGCGACCTTCCACTGACCCTGAGACCTCTTCGACTGTGTGCCCCGTCCGCAACCAGTAATGCAAGAGACGATGAGCACAGTGGTCATCCCCGCTGCTCCTTGAACCACGTCTATCGCCGCCTCTTTCTTTCCGCAGGCTTGCCGACTCCCGAACCAACCCGAACCTTGCGCCGCAGTGCCCTCATGTCGCTGTCGGGGAAGCTCGCTCTCGGCACTCTCAGGTCCGTCATTCAACACACGACCTCTCTCTCCCACTCTCTCTGTTCTTGTCTTGGGCATGAGTGACGAGTTCAGTTTGCCGGCGACCAGCGCCCACCCTGACTTCAGAGGCGCTTTCCCAGGGCCTGTTTTGCTGTCACACAGGCTGGGCAGCTCCCAGCAGTGGTCAGCTATAGATCCAGCTATTTCACAGGTTACCTTTAATATGTTATAATTATCGATGGTGCGCGGCAAACGGAAAAGGGACACTTTTCCACCAGCATCAAAGTACTGCAGTACAGTCTAAGCATTTTCGTGTCTTTGCAGGTACAAGGCATGGCATCCCGGCATCCCAGTTTGCATCAGCATGTGCAAGGGTTTCGACCAAAGCGCCCCCGAACCCCCGCCTTACTTTCATGCAGCTGTCTGGTTGAGTGGGGGTGCTTCCCGTCCACTGTTCTGGGCTGTCGGTTTTTTTTCCCTCTCGCATGGCTAGGGATGTCGGTTTAGGGTTTAGGGTTTAGGGTGCTGGGGATGCTCGCTGCTTGCCGCGTGGCTTGCGTGATGGGTGTCTTGCAGGAGGTCTGGCTGCTGCGGCTGTTGGTGAGGCACTGCTGGCGCTTGCTCTTCTGGTGGGTGGCCTTGGGCGGCTGTCGGGTCAGGGGGCGGATTGGAGTCCCCTCCTGTCGTCGATTGGTTTGCTACCGCTCCAGGTGGCTGTGGTGTAGCGTGGGTTTGCTCTTGTGCCGGGGCAGTAGGGAGGCTTGCTCTGGAGCTGCTGGCCCCCGTTGCTATTGGGTGTGTGCTCAGGATTGGGTCTGCGTCCAGGTGCTGCAGTGAGGTCCTTAGCTGTGCCCAGACGTCCTCCGTGAGGGTCCCCCGCCGCTGCCGCTGCATCCTCAGTGTCCTGGGGGTTGCTCCCCGCTGCTGCTGTATCGGCCGCTTGGTTCGTGGGTTGTGGGTTCTGGGCAATCCAAAAACCTGCCTGTAGAGGGCTGTTGGGTGATGGGCGAGTGGAGGCGGTCATCGAGTTTTGCCTCCTTACAGCAGAGGAGCTGCCGATTTGCATTAAAGCTCTTGCGGGCCCGATGCTGCATTTCTCCAATGATGGCTGCAGGAGCATTAATGAATGTCACCGGCGACCCCAACGCAGTCATGATAGCGTCAGGCCCTTGGCTGGGTACCGTTTGGTTGCCGATTCGGAACGAGCCCCCGTTTTCGGCGCTGCAGACCACCATCGTCTTTTTGGGGTTTATCTCTAAGCCCCGTTTAGCGAATCTCCGGACGACGGCCTCGAGGCACTGCTGGATCCAAGTGGGGTTGGCGCCCCACACATACGTATCGTCCATAAAGGTGGCAGTCGGGGGTGGTCGCCCCGAACGTCTGTCCCCGCCATGTCCTGGATGACTTGGTCGATGGCCTCCCCGATCCCCGCGGAGAAGAGCGATGGGGAATCCGGGGAGCCTTGTCTGACCCCGTTTGTCTGGTCGACGTCTTGGGTTTCGTCTCCAAAGGCCACCTGAAAGCCCCGAGCCCCTAGCACCTGTAGCCACGCGCGTGCCTCCCAGGGGAGTCTGTCCCGGACTTTCTCCGCCACTAGCGTAGAGAGGTACTGTTGACTGATTGAGTCAAAGGCCTTGCGGACGTCGAGCTTGATGATCCAAAATGTTTCTCTCCACTCGTGGGCTTGCTGAGCTAGGCGCCTAAGCGCCAAAATGAGCTCAACCGACTGGCTCCCCGTTTTGCAGAACTGGAGATTGCCGATGGGGCGCAGCAGGGGCAGTCCCCTTCGCAACAGGAGCTGAGCGAGTGTTTTGAGCAGGATGTTGGAGAGGGTGATCGGCCTCGTGTCCGCAAACTCTTGCGGTGCTGCAACCTTGGGCAGGAGAACTGCTAGTCCGTCGTTCAGCCCCGGCGGGAGCTTGCCCACGTAGAGGATGTCGTTGAGGAGCCAGAGCAGGCGGCCAAGCCCTCCCATCACCAGGGAGATGTAGCGGACAGCTTCGAGGGAGATCCGGTCTGTCCCCGTGCTTTTGTTGTTTTTCCCTTTCGCCATGATGGGCCTGAGCTCATCTTCTCGAAATGGGTGCCACGGGGTGGCCTTGCACTTGACAGAGAGCTGATCATGCAGCTCCTTGGCTCGCTGCCTGACCCCGATGGGGTCCTCCTTCGCGAATATGCTCCGAAAATGCTCCAGCAGTTGTGTCTTCCACTCTGGGTCGTCAGTGATTCTCGCTTCCCAGCTTTTGTTGGGGCGCCGCTGGGTTTTGAGCTCTCGGTACGAGGCCCAAGATCGCTCCCCTGCCTGTCGGACTAGTTCGCGCTTCCAAGCCTTGTGCTCCTCCTTGCGCACGGTCAGTAGCCCCGCATGGATGTCCCCGTGCGGCCGGAGGATGTCTAGGACCTCCTCCTCTGGCCTTGGCGGGAACTTGAGGGGTCTAGGTCCCCACTTCGGCATCGAACTGGCAGGTAGGGCCGGGTTCTGACCTCCCGCTATGTAGATGACCACAGCCTCGTGGTCCGAGGCGGGAATGTCCCTGGTAGTGTCCGTCCGCGACGGCTCCCCGGATGGTGACATAGTCAATTCTGCGTGGCCGGAGGTCAGTGTGGTACGGAAAATGCGTTGGGGTGTCCAGGCTTGGGGTGGCGTTCGCAAATTGTGCTGGGCCAGCCACTGGAGGAGGGCTTCCCCTCACTCCGATGTGGCTAGTGGCTGGTGCCCCCTTGATCTAAAGGACTCGTTCGCGTCTGTCCCCAAGACGACCAGTTTGAGCCCCGCAGCCTTGTGCTGCCCAAGTTCATGGAGTTGCTCCGTTGCCAGGTCGATGGTGGCATGGTGCGAGAGGTGGTAGTTCAACAGGCCCATCACCAGTTTTTGCGGCTGCTTGATGCATGTGCTGAGTCCTGCTCGGCAGACTTTAGTGCAAGAATGAGCACCGAGTTCACAACGAAAGACGATGGCGTTCGCTCTCCAGTCATGTTTTGTTCTCCCCGCTACGAGCCGCCAGAGCCGGTCCGAGTCGAAGCTGATCCCTTCGGGAGCTATCACTTCTTGGAAGAACCAAATATCAACTGTGTCATGGCAAGGGGTGGCTGTCCCCGAAGCGCGGGGAGAAGGACTTGCAAGATCTTCTGCGGGGTGAAACCCCCGAGGTTCCAGGACGCCACCGTGAGCTTGTGAAGTGCGGGGTTGGTACCTTCAGGTAGTCCCCGCTGCTGCTGGTGA